CTCGGCCGCTCGGGGATGGGGCCCCCCGCCGGGCCCGGGCCCCACTCTGTCTCTGGGGTGGGGCTGAGGCTGAGGCTGGCGGCCTTCAAGTGAAGGAGGGTTGTGCGGGGCGCTCGCCGGGTCTGCGGCGTGTGGCGTGGGCTGGGCTCCCATGTAGTAGGGCCTGTCGCGTAGGTGATGCGGTCTGCGAATGCGGTTGTGCTACCCGCAGGTCTGGCTTAGCTCGTGGGTAGTGAGGCTGCATGTACGTTATGAGATGCACCTCTCTGTACAAGTGGTCTGTTATCTGGTATTTGCAACTGAATTTCCAAGGTCAGGAGAGACCTAGAAAAGACTCACTTTTACTGATATTTTAACTTTTTTTTTTTCCCATGGACATCTTTCTAGAGGAGTTTTATTAATGTATTGTTAAAACATATGGTGTATTTGAGCAAGAGAGAAAATCGGTGCTTTACCCTGGGGAAGATCACAGATTGTGTAGATAAAACCTAGTCTACAACTTTCTTTGTGATTGTGTTGATTTTTTCTCTTGTTTCAGGTGTAGAGCCACAGCACTGCAAACATGTCAATTGGAGTGCCAATTAAAGTCCTACACGAGGCTGAGGGCCATATTGTGACATGTGAGACCAACACAGGAGAAGTTTACCGAGGCAAACTTATTGAAGCTGAAGACAACATGAATTGTCAGGTATGTCTCTCTTCAGAATGGTGGAGAAAAGGCTGTCTGATCAGTGCCTTTTAGCTGATAGCTAGCTTATTGGCAGCGTGATTAAAAGACAGGGTTTTTTAGTCTTAGGAGAAAGAAGGTTGTACTACTGCCTTACTATGGTGAAATGGATTCAGGATTACTGAGTGCTCCAAAGAGGCCAGAGCTTACTCTTTCCAGTTTTAGAGTAGCATTTGTCATTCCTGTCAATAATATCAGGGTTCTTAAGATTCTGTTCTGTGAACAATGTTTCTGCTGGTGTTCTTTATTTAAAATCACTGAATGTAAGAACAGACAAACCTTAATTTAAGAAATTTAAACTTTTCTTAATGTATGTTACTTTAGGCATCCCAAGAGGGCTTAATTTGTGTTGACTTTAGGCAAGTCATTCTCAAAATCAAAACTAATAGTTAGGACTAGAATAGCTTTATTAAAACTGATTCAATATGAAAAAAACAAGCTAATAAAAGTAATTTTCAAGCTGGGGAGAAAGCAGAAGCCCTGGGCCTGCTTGAATAGTAGCAGGCTTAGGAGTATGTTTAAATGGTCTTGGGTGCCTTGTGTCACATCTCCATTTGAGAAAGCAGCATGCTTGGAAAGTCTTTGGCTTTGGTACTTGAATCTTGGCTGCATTTTCTGCAGGCAAGAGAAATAGGAATACAGAACTGTGTTAGAGGCCTCTGTGAGCACTGACTGATCTTTGCTTTCCAGATGTCCAACATAACAGTGACGTACAGAGATGGACGAGTGGCACAGCTTGAGCAGGTGTACATCAGAGGTAGCAAGATACGGTTTCTTATTTTACCAGATATGTTGAAAAATGCTCCTATGCTAAAGAGCATGAAGAATAAAAACCAGGGTTCTGGAGCTGGGCGAGGAAAAGCAGCTATTCTCAAAGCTCAAGGTGTGTACAATTTCCTTGTGGTCCTCCCCCCCCTTTTTGCTGTAGAAAAACTGGAAAATTGTTATCTCTGTCACTGAGGAAGTGCAGGCTGTAAGAAACGGAAAGATTGCTGGTTCATGTGTTTTGCTGTGTATTTCATCTTATGGTGGGAGTCAGGACTCAAAACTGTTCAACTATGAATGCTGATGCTACAATAGTTTAGATACAGTGAGTAGTCTTGTTAAACTGAGGCTTTATATAAAAGTTCTTCTGTTTTCCAGTGATTGTGGGCACTCACTGTTTGGAAGGATTCACGTGTTCTTGTTAAGTTTTTGTAGAAAAACAAATGCAGATAATAAACTACTGGGAAGCTGTAATTATTAGCCATTCTGTAGTTCACTGTCATTCATCTGTACCTTTCTGAGGGGAATGGTCTAGTTATAACAAGATGGAGTAATAATCACAGGACCCAAAGTCCTTGGTTAACTTTAGCAAATGCAGTAAAGTTATGTGGGGGAGTAACATCTGCTGAAATATACTGAGTTCTGTTGCAAAACCTTGGCAGAGTGTGGGGTTTTAAGTCTCTTGGTCTACACAGATTTGTGTGTCAGCTTAGGAACACAAAGTGTATGAATATTCACTGCATCTGTTCTAAGTAGCGAGACTGTAACCATTAGTTCTGGTTCTTGCAGAAAACCTTTTGCTGTCATACCACTTTCTGAACTTCATAGGATAGCTTTGTTTCCTTGCTTCTAAGCAAGAGACTTTGAGTGTTGTTTGTTTTGCTTGTTGGTTGTTGAGATAAATATGAGGTTATGTCAAATTCATCCCTGATGTTTTCTTTCTTCAGTGGCTGCAAGAGGAAGAGGCCGTGGTATGGGCCGTGGCAACATCTTCCAGAAGCGCAGATAATTTTGGTCTTGATCAACATGCTTTTTTTTATTAGGGGGTATTAACTTGACTACATGTGGATTGGTATCAGTTTTGTTTAATAAATGTTTCTGACAAAAACTTGTCTGCTCTTACATGACCGGACTTCTCTTGGGCAAATACATTATAGATGATTTCAAACTTAAAATAGCTTTGTCTGGAAAGTAATGGACTTTATATCTAGATTTGACTACTTTGTATTTGTGTGATGCATTGACCCTTAAAGATTGTCATGTTTCATTTTTCTTCTTTAGTCCTGTTGTCATTCATTCTCTAAAGAATTATAAGTCATTCTTGATGAAGAATTTTTGAATAGTGTGTTTTAAAGTCATATTAGCAGCTGCATTTATGGAAATTACAGCAAAACTGAGGCAGCAGCTTCCAGAGAAGCAAAGCACTATGTTCTTTTATGTGGACCTAGAACAGATATAGGTCTATCTTCAGATCTGTACATTGAGTTGGTATTATTGCATTTCTTATTGTTTTCTTTGGATACAGGGAGAATTTTTTATTAGGAACACAAAACTTTGGTAGACTGAGTCTATATTTGCAGTGAAAAGTTCTGTTCTAACTCTGTTTTTCCCTCTGCCTGGGAAAAGAAGACACACTATAAAATAGGCATTTGAAAGGATGATTTTGAAATGTCTTGTAAATTTAAAAGGTAGTGCAGGGGTATGGAGAAAGTTTTATAAATAGTTATGCATTAAATACAACTCAGTACAAATGCTAATGTTTTGAACAAAACTTAGGATCAACTTGAGCTTTTGGTCTTAATATCTATGTGCAGTCATATAGATCATCAGCTGATGTGCAGGAAGCCAAATGTAGTTGTAACTTTATTTTGCTAAAAGTATGGTGTGGTTGTTCTTACTTAAATCATTGAAATGTTTAAATGTGACACTTCTGTACCTAATCACATATTTGCATACAATCAGTTATCAGTCTGTACATCTACAAAATACCTAGTCATGCTTTGATGCTGTGAAGACTCCCTTGTGTGCAGACATGAAAGTTGAACTAATGTATTTGTTGAATTGTCTGTAAATAAAGCTGTATTTGGTCTCGCATCACTAGGAGAACCCTGCTACATGTTCTTCTGGGTAGTAATCCTAATTATTTGCATTAGAAACCTTAAAATGTGTTAAAGATACACTTGAGCTTAGCTATAAAATCACTGTGGTATCATCTTATGACTAGACTAAGGAACATGTCCAAAAGACAAGATGGTTTTCATAAATCCCTGTGCTTCAGAATAGGGCATGTGAGTCATGTTCATGTAGCAGTAATGCTTTCCTGAAGACAGTGTTTCCAATGATACTAAACACTTTCTTATGAAAATGTGTCATTCTTCAAATTGACAGTCACTCAGAAGAGAATCACAACTGATAGTTGATCAGGTCACATCCCTCTGAGCCTGTGCCTGTGTAAGATACAGGCAAGTAAAACTGAACTGGTCTGTATAGTAACTACAGCCTTATCCCTAGGAGTAATAGCTGTACTCTTTGGAACTCTTTAATACTTTGGTTCTAGCTCTTACTGGGGGAGAGGAAACAGAATTTCTTCCTCATGCGAAGGCATCTAAACTTCACCAGCCTGATTTGAGAAAGACCATCTTAAAGTCAACATGAAGCTCAAGTCCATTTTGAGTCATTATACTAGATGCCCCCTGAGACTGAAATTTTTTCAACACAAAGAAGATAATTTCATCCTGTTGCTGTACCATGAGCTTCATGGTAAAAATTGAAGTGTGTGCTTGTAGTATCCCATGATAATGCCCGAGATCTCTGGAAGTGGGGTGGGAGGTAAGAACAGGCATTTCTGTTGATGGCCACTGGTTTTGCATGTTGCTGTATGGTGGTAGGTGAGATGATCTCTTCCCTAGTAGGTAGTATGACTATTTGAAATCACATACTGCAAATAAGACATCTGACTGTCTTTTATTGCTTTTAATATATCAGGCTTGTGATTACGTTGCTAATCAAGTCAGAGTTTTCGTACGGGGGGGGTTATGCAACCATCAACAGGCAGAACAGGAATGGCATAATACATGATTGCTTTCTGAGTATCTGCTGCAAGGTTTTATAGCATGTTTCTTCAGCAGCTGGAACTGCCTTCTCTTCCAAAGCAAACACCTAATTGGAACCTGATTAGTGCAAGAGTTAATTGCCATAAATAGAAACTAGTATAGGATGGAGTGTGTGTTTAAGGATGGTAAACTGCTCTGCTAAAGGGTGTCATCCTGGCCATGGCTAACTTGCAGTGGGTGACAAAGGAAGTTACAGTTACCTTGTTTAGTAACAGGAGAGACAAGAGGTGTTCTCACAGTTTGAGCAAAGAGAAATAACTTTGCCAAAACTCCTTTGGTCTGGCTTCTATGGGGTCTCCTTGTGGCAACCCTCACCATTTCCTCAAGAGGTTATATCTTTTTTGCCGGGACTGTCTGGTACTTCCTAACCCTCAAAGCTCTCCTGTCTTTTTCTGTAAAGCCTCCAGAAAGAGCTATTAATATGTGAAAAAGGAAGTAAGCCACAGATGGGGGACTTGACTAAAACTATCTTTTGGAAGAGATTCAACATTTTGGCAAGACTCCAAATCTGGCCCATTGGCTTTGCATCTTGCTATTCCCTTCTGACTGCAGAATAGCATGTAGCCTTTTCTGAAGGTTAGATGTTAGCTTCTTTTGCAGAGAACGGGGAGAAATGGCACCACACTTCACCACAGACAGCTGCTGGAATGGCAAAGGCTTTGAAACGCTAAAGGGAACCCTAAAGAGTGTAACGGTTAAATCCTATTTAAGCAAATTAAAGCTGCCTGGCAGTAGCAGGTTTGTTTGGGATTGTTTTCACTAATTATAATTGTCTTACCTTTTCTATTTCTTTTTAAAGTTCCTGTGCAATGCTAAGCTTCTGTTCCCTCCACAGCACTGAGGGCAGGGGGACAGCCATGAATTTCAGAAAGAAACAATAACCCTCCCCAGTAGGTTTGAGTTGACAGAACAAACTGCAGTGTATCTGCTTTAAGAAGATACCCCTTCTGATGTTTCTCACCACCTGTATTTGTGACTGTCTGCTGAGCACACAGCAATGAAACTTCTAAAAAGATTTTTTTCCAATCAGTGTTGCCTTAGCTTTTAAGCTTTACTTAAAACATGTAACATCTCTAACCCACATCAGCTTTGAAGAAGATACTGGATTTTGCATAAACAAAAATCTCTGCACTATGAATTCAGGTTAAGTCTGAGTCTAGGATAAACTGTTTACCCTCTTCAGAAAGATACTGTGAATTAGTGTTGAAAAGTTTGAAGTTTCACAGTGGTGGGCATTTAAGCCGCAGCCAAGACAAACATCACTTAGGAATTTCTGACTAGACTAACCGATATGCTAGTTTGTTACAGGCTGTTTTGAAGAGCCTACCGATGATCCTTACAGCGTGGTAAATCAAAATTTCCTTCTAACAAATGATGCCTTATCCACTAGATGGCTCTGTCGGTAAGAGAATGAAATAAAGAAATTAGAACCCTCTGGAAGCAAAAAATATAAGAAAGGTGACTTCTGCTATAAAATCTATCAACTCAGTGCTATTACAAACTTTAGCATAAAAATACACCTTATTTTTTTTCCTCTTCAGTTTTCCCGAAGTGCTGGGATAACCCAGGTGATTCCAGACATTGCTTGATGCTGTGTGTTTCCCTGGTACTTGGCTAGTTGGGCATGTGCACTTAGGTAGGTTGTGCAGATTCCTTGAGTTCAGCAACTTAAGCAATCTGTTTCTCTGTGACGGAGAATACTATGGATAGATGCAGCTGTCTGGTTTTAACATCTGTCCTTATTTGTCACTTTTTTTGGTCACAGATTGCAGCATTTCTTTTCATCCTTTGCCATTGCTTTGTGTGTGGGTTGTAAGCTTTTCCTTGTTCAGTGGGTTCAGAGCTCACTTTTGACAGAGAGACAAGCTACAGGCCTGAAGCTTTGACGTGAACTTGCCCCTTTGATATCATTAGTGTAGGTGCCTTTGAAGTACTTATGTGGGATAGAAAAGCTACGCTGCAGCCATGCAAAATGATGTGTGGAGAGGTGCAGGTAGAAATTCACCCAGTCTTCCTGAGTCAACACCACGGTTGTGCTCTGGTACAAAAACAGGGAAGACCCTGATAACAGCAGAGAAGAGTTAAATGGTTGGAGAAAGTATCACTTGAAAAAACTGCTTTGCACAGAACTGTAGGAGTTTTCCTCACTAGCCACTGGGGTGCTTTCATCCTATACATATGCACTTCTGCTCTCCAGGTGTACATAACATATTTGATCCTAAAGCTGTACTTTTCTTTAGTTCATTTTCCAAGGGTGCCCTGCAAAATATCAGTCTGTTATGAGTGAGAGAGGCTGGAAAGGGATGCCATGTAGATAAGTGGCAAGCTATGGTGTCTCTTCTCTGAGTGCAATTACATGCCACATTGTAAAAGCCCTGTTCTCCAGAGCCTCAGAACTTGGCTTATACCAACTCTCAAAACTGTGGGAGAGGCAGCAGCCCCTTAATCTCTGCCAGTGAAAGGCAGAAGTAAGGGGATGTGGCCCCTAGATCTCCCATGCCCTCCAGAAAATCTCTTCTAGAAGGGCAGAATGGAGTGGAAAACATGAATTTCTGGTGCTCAGCGTAACTGACCAGTGTGTATCTCTGCTAGTTAGGCTTCACAGTGAGTTTTCATTTAAAGTAGAGTTGTCCTATTTCCTCTTGCCAGTAAAATGTGAGCAAGGATGGAAGGCTGACATCCCAGTGGAGTAATGATTTGGTAAGGTAGCAAAGGGTGAAATTCTGAGGTTTACAAGAAAGTGTCAATGATCTGGTGGTTTATTTCTCAGCCACTGGTCCAAATGGAGGAAGGATTCTCATAGGATTCTTTGATGTTTCCATCCTGACAGAGGCAAAAATTTATATCCGAACTTGCACCTTATTGCAGCTGAACTGATTTCAGACAATAAGACCTGGTCTTTCTCCTTTCACATTAGATAAAGCTAACTCTATGGGACCCTCCTGCCTCCAGTGTTTCTTTGGGAGGAAATACAGATACACCACATTTAAAGCATGGTCAAAAATAGCCTTGAAACAAATGCTGATATGGGCAGTGTGCTGCAGATTACTTTGCAAGTGAGCTGATACTGCTCACCTCCTCATCCACTCAGGGACAGATCACACCTGCGGACAGAACAACTACCATATGACTACAGCATGCTGGTCCTGAAGTAGCCAAAGCAGTGCTTGTCTGCAAGTATTTTCCCAGATCAAGTTGCATTTTAACTGCTTCGATTGTCCTGTTGTTTGCTTGATCCTGTAAGAACAGTTCTTGATAGTGTCAAGAGTACTTTGGAGGTAATGAATAGGGAAGTGCCACCCTTCTCTGCTCATGCCAACTGTTCCTCAAAGACTAGGCTGTGGGATTATTTAAGTCAGTGTGGAGGCTGACATTAATGTACAATATGACCAGTAGGTTCGGGGTGTTTTCATTCCACCTAGTTCAGACATTTAATGAGAAAAGCATTTTGGGGTTTTGTGTGAATTGGTTGTTCCTAGTAGACAGGCTATTATTCCTGGCACAGGACCAGTCATTGCATAAGCAAGTATTGTGCAGCCCTTTGCTGCTCAGCAGAGACTATCGGAGTCTATGAAAAGTGGAGATTTTCCAGCATCATTAATTCAGGGGAGAATGCTGAAGCCTTGGCAAAGAAACAGACTGTATCCAGAAGATGTGTAGTTATGCTGGAAGAAATGAAAAGAATGGCAGAAAAACACTATTATTGTTCTTTTGTTTAATGAACTGCTTGCAGCGAACATTTAATTTGTTCTTCATTTTCCCTTGCCTAGGGACTTAAAATCTGTTGTCTGGTTGCGGGTTTGCCCTATTTCCAGCTCAGTGGGGAGATGCTAATACATCTACTTCAGAGCACAACTGCTTGTTGTGAGGCAAAACTCCTCACATTTTGTCCTGTAGTGCCTAAAACATTAACAGGAGTGGGACAGAGCACTCAGTGGGAATATCAACACCACCGTGCTGGTGATGCAAAAGGAAGGCAATGGGAATGCCTGGATTTGCAGGGACATAGAAATGTCCCTTTAGCTTGTTTGCGGCTCCATACTGTAAAGTGCCCAGCTGTTGCTTTCATGTGTTTTTCTTTACAGAACTGTTATTACAAACTGTTACAGGGTATAAAGACATTGTTACTTCACAAAGACAGATGGAGACCAAGCCACAGAGAGTTTCAGACCAGGATTTGCTGACAGATTTGGGCACACAACTCCTGCTGAAACCAATGAGCCAGGAAACCAAGTACTTTTCAATACTTATCCTTAAGTGACTGGCCTAACAGTGTCCCTGGAACTCCAGGACAAAGTCTCCAGAGGCCCAGCAAGTGCTCTAACTGCTGGCTCATCCCAGAAGTGGTGGTCTCTGAGCACTGCCTCCTGCTGATATCAGTCTCCTGTTGATCAGTAAGCCACCTCGTGGTGGCTTAGCGGTGTGGATACTTCTTAGGATATTCAGGCTGCTTTGCTGGAAGTCCCTCGGTGGCATCTGGAAAAGTGCAGTTTTTTGTTGCTGCTAGAGCTGGTTTGTACCCTCTTTTCTGATTGCTCTGCTCTCTGGCAACAAGCATCAGTCCTTCTTGTTAGGCAGTTCCAAGTAAGGCCTGCTGAATTTGTGCTACCTTGATTTATTTTCATCCTTCTTCCTTAATTTCATCCTTAAAGGACACAGACTGATGTTCCCTTCTGGAGAATAAGAGACTGTTACCTCTAAGTTTATAGCAGCTGCAGATGTGATCCTGCTGTGGATTCCCGTGCTTCTGGCAAACATATTCGCTCACTATAGGTAAAAGTGAAAAATGTCTTTATGGAGAAGTGCTTTCAGGGAAGGACATGAGACTGTGAATCTGAAGAGGTTACAGTCCTGCCTCTGTTCTGGAAGTTTATAGGTAAGTTGCTTGACAAGATAATCGCACTACTTTCCTCGCAAGGATACGGGGAATATAAATCACTGATCAATTGATCTTGGTTACTGTGGTAAGAATACCTTGCAAATCACTCTGTCCAGGTGCAACCAAAGATGAAGATTAGAGGATTAGTTTTATATATAATCCTCCTTTCAGGAGACTTGGTTCTGTTTTCAGGATAGAAGCCTCTCCACTCCACTTGGCAGAAAACAGACCTCTGCAACACAAATGTGCATTGGCTTTGTATTCCAATTTTGAATGTGTTGAGTGCAATTTATGTCTGTAAATAATGAAGATATTTGTTGTCCAAAAGTAGGCACTGTCAAGGTTTTTGTGTTTGGGCTTTTTGGGGAGAGGGGGTGAGATTTCTGGGACATTGGCAGTATTTAGCTTGCATTAGAGACACAAGTCAGGCCACAACTGTTATGAGCCCACAGCCTCGTTAGAGGTTTTGGAGTACTGCAGCTGATGGCCCTCAGCAGACATGGGATAATGCATAGACCCATGTGGTGGCATTTGACATTGCTTATTGGTATCTTTACAGTCTTCTAAAATCTCAAGTAAACTACAGGGTGGATAGGCTGTTTTTTTCCCTGACACAATATCCAGCTAACAGAACTGCAGTGTGGAGATATTTAGTCTTCTGTAACAAGGTGTTGCTTTTTGTTGCTTCACAACTGAATGAGCCTCCTCTCTGCGTCAGTACCACGTGTCTCTGGAACAGCTTCACAGCAAACCTTTTTTTGCAAAGCTCAGTCATTAGCTAATATTGTTCCTCTTTGAAGAACCCTTTATGAAAGTGAACATCAGAGACATCTTCAGAACCAGACAGGAGTATGTCATTTTCCCTGCAGTCTTCTTCACATCTTGCTTTTGAGGGCAGTTTGGGTACAGCAGTAGGGAGTGCTGTGGTCTGGGGAAAGCAGGAGTGAATACACAGGGAGAAAATGTTGATTCTTCCTTTTCTCTGGGTATTTGTTAGGATGTGCTCTCTTTGTTTTGTCTTTTCACTACAAGCTTTTTTTTCCAGTTAATGAGCCAAATTTGACATGGAGGAAGTGGATGAAGCTCTAGGGAACTCATTAGAGGTTTTACATGTCAGAATTTGACTCTAAATACATGAAGTCTAATCCTAAACCTAGGCAGAGTTTTATACCATGGAACATGCCTAGAGACTGTTGGGAGGGTCCAAGTAGCTGCCCTCACTTTACCTCTGCAGCCCCATTTGAGCCTTACTTTTAGCGTGTGTTTCAACTATGTCTTTTTGGAACATGATTCTATCCTTAGGCTGAAACTAATGCTATGAGACACACCAGTCCCTCAGTCTAAGGGTTACACTGGGGATAGTTCTAGTAGCAGCCTTAGCTTTACTTCAGCACCCTGATCCTCAGTCCTGCTTTACATCTTGGCTGTCTCTCTCTGAATCCCAACCCCAGTGATGGCTCCAGCCATTTTACCAAGTGGAGGTGTCCCCAGACATGCGCAGGGCACCCACCCAGCCACTCCCTCACTCCCCTCTCCTCAACACGGCAGGGAGAGACAGTAAGATGGAAATGCTCCTAAGTCAAGACAGGGAGATTGCTTACCGATTACTGTCACGGGCAAAACAGATTTGACTTGGGGAGAATTAATTTATTGCCTGTTAAAATAGGTTTGCATAGCGAAAGACAAATTAAAACAACGCCCTCCTACCCCCCCTTCTTCCCAGGTTCAGTTTCACTCCTTTATCCCCTCCCCACACGGCACAGAGGAATGGGGAATGGGGGGTTGTGGTCAGCCCATAACAGGTTGTCTCTGCCACTCCTCCTCCTCACGCTGTTCCCCTGCTCCAGCATGGGGCCTTCCCACTGGTCACTGCTCCTTCAGAGCTGTTCCCCTGTTCCACTGTGGTCACTCCATGTGCTGCAGGGACTCTGCTCAGCACCTCCTCCTCTTCCTCTTCTGGCCTTAGCATTGCAGGACAGTTTCTCATGGTTTTTTTTTTGTCCTCACCCCTCACTGCCATACAGCGTTTTGCCCTTTCTTAAATACACTTTCCCAGAGGTGCCACCAGTTTTGGAGCGGGGCTCAGCTGTGCCCTGAGGTGGGGCAGCTGCAGTCCGGCCGTGCCCAGCAGGGCCAGTCTCGACCTCTCCTCAGAGCAGCGCCCTTTAGGGGACAAGTGACCGCCCAGCTCCAGAGCACCTGTCCCAGGATGGCAACATGGCTTCTCTCCTATGGGGCAGCTGAGGTTAGTGGTTAGGGATCGCATTTTTCTGGCTTGGCTTAATTCCTGCTTAGTGAGGGGCAGCAGGAGCAGCAGGTAGAAGCCAGGCATTGCTCTCCTTCCTCCTGCTTTAAAGAGCATCCTTCTGTGTGTCGCCACAAGGCAGTCTCTGTTACCGTCTTCTGAAAACAGCCAAAGTCTGGAAAGTCAGCGAGAGTGCCAATTTAGAGGCAACTCAGTGAGCTAGTGATATTGCTAAGAGAAGGAACAGCACTGGCATTAGCAATGCAAAAACTGAGGCAATGCTGCCACCTTTTCTGCTCCTGACCTTCCAGTTCAGAAGGTGACAAAATGGCTGATCACTCCTGTTGTCCTCATGCTGTTAGCACTGGGGAGGCAGGAGGTTTGGCGGCTGCCAGTGATGGGTTTGCACAGGCACAGAGCAGTTCTCTCTAAAATACTTACATTCATACTGGAGCTGAGGGATGGGCTGGTCCAGGGCTGAGACCCAGGCGAGGGGACCTTACAGCTGGAGACTCCCTGGGCTGTTACCTCTGAGTATCTGGTTGCACGTCAAAGCTGTTCCTCTGGTGTCCTCCATTTCACTCTCTTTCAATGGCAGTTTTTGAAAAAACAAAACCCAAAAAAACTGTTGGTAAAATGAGCAGTTTGGTACTGACTTAGGCAGTTATTCAGTTGCAGCAGAGTTCAGACAAAGGTGCACACGTCAAACTGTTGGCTCTGCAAACCAAAAGATTTCAGGGGATCAAGAACAAAGCTCTGCTCAGAAGTCTGACATGGAGACCCAAAGGCAGCTGCTAGCTAGCCTGGGGAAGTGCCTTTTTCCAGATTTCTATGCCATGTTGGTTCTTGATGAGACCCACTGTGTTTTAGGGGAGTTACACAGGTTGAATAAAGCCCATGTAATTGTCTGATAGCTTTCCAAATGCATCCCATCGCTGTATCCAACCTGGGGCAGATTGCCTCAAAAACAGACTGGGAGGAATGTGGACATCTCCTCCAGAGAAGTGGAGGAACTGGCTGATCAGTAAGCAGCAAAGAATCTATCCTCCACCCTTGTGACATGCCTGCATTCAAGCTGAATAAACCTGATGCTGTAGAAAGAAATGTCAGTGTTTTTGTGGTTCACTTGCTTTTGCGGCCAGTTTGGATGCAGCAGAGGGAGTGATGGGCTTTGGGAAAAAGGAGTAAATACACATGGAAGGAAAGAGTTACTGTGTGGTTATTGTGTTTTGTGGCTATTCTGGTTTTGAATCAGCATCACTGAACTGGAATAGTATCAAGTCGGAGAGGAACAGAAGAGATTCATAATCAAGTACTTAGTGTCTCAAAGTAGATCAAGATGTGGTCATGGCTTCCTGGAGTGCTGGCCTCAGCTAAGAGTGTTCCGGTTTATTTTGTATCATGAACTACCTCTTGGCAGCCTTAAAACAGCTATTGCATCTATTTCAAGAGCACTTGTTTAATGCCAGTAAACTGCAAAACAGATTCTCTTGTCCACTGATCATCGACCCCAACTGCTGGGAGCTGTGGGCTGGGCTTTCTTCCAGCTGCCCTCGAAGGCTGTTACACCTGCTGCGCTGTCAAGATAGTGCAGTGATAAGAGATTGTATTGAGACACACCATTGCCTCTTCTGAGCTGTGAAACAAACGTGATCTGGTGGTGGATGGGAGTGATCTGTAAAAGCAAATGTTTAATCCTCTCTTGTTTGCTTTCTTAAGATGAAACCATTTATATTTTGGCATCTTTGTTAGCAGCTGTCCACTAAGGAGCCTGTCAGCCTGCTCCAAACAGTGCAGACTCCTTTATCTTCCAAGTGCTTGCGATGAGGAATGAATTGTTAAGTTGAAAAAAGAGTCTTGGCAGCGTAGAAGAGAAGGGCCTTGACAGGATTTGAAGTGTGCGAAATAAAAATAGATCAGACAAACCTGTGCTTCCAGCTGCTTTTTGCATCCTTAATGATTACCAGTTATTTAGACAAAGTCACAGGAATGAGGGAGCCTTGTGGTGGCCTCAGTGCCAGGCATATTGCTACCTGGAGTATGCTAAGATGGTTACCCTGGGATTTGTGGTCAGACGCTGGGGTAAAATACAGAATGGAGGAGCGAGGAGTGAGGAAGGTGTTGTCCAGTTAGGTAGGGAGGGAACAAGTGCATTTCCACTTGAGTAACTGAAAAGGACTGGCCTGCTCCTTCTTCCCTCTGCTATTTGGCACCGATGGCCTCTGTACCTGCGGTGCTTCTCCACGTCCCCACGTGTACACCTGACTGTGGCTGGGCTTTGGGCGCTGGCTCCGCTAGAGCTCTCTGCCACCTGCCCGACCCCACGCAGAGCCCCAGCTGCTGGTGCTCACCAGCATTTTCAAGTGAGATGCTGCAGGTGGCCCTGGGAGCATGCAAGAGGGTGTGCTGTTCCAGGTAGAAAGCTGCCTGCTCTGAGGGGTGCTGGGGGGGAAGCTGCTGTGGGCACAGACTGGTGGAGGTGGGAGTTCACTGTCTCATGCCCTGCCACTATGTGATTGTAGATCTGAAAAGGGACCAAGCAACCCCAGGAGGAGTAGGAGGATTTTCTGCAGGGTATTTATAGAGCCTTGGAAAAATAAGACAGTGGAGAGGTGTGGCATGGCTTTGCACCTGGTGGCCTCTCCTTCCAGAAAACTACTTTTGAAGGGTGTGCTTAAATATCTCACTTCAAGACATACTGTTAGACTGAGAACCTGGTGGGAGATGGCGGGTGGAGAAGGGGCTGCGATACTAAGCTGTGCAGCTGCAGGTTCCTCTCTGCTACATGACATAGGTCCCATCGCAGGCTGACATCTGCATCCTGCACAGAGAGAGAGGGAGGGAGGGAGACTGGGAAACTGCAAATGGTGGAGATAGCCTGCTGTATGAGTGTTAATGCTGAGGTGCGTGTGCTGCTTTAAGTAGCTGAGGTTACAGCCCTGCACCACCAAGTACCGTAAGGAGAGAGCATTCAGTATGACAGGGATCCATCTCTCCTGCTGCGTTATCTAGCAGGAGACAGAGGCTTACTGCAGGGCAGGCATCCCCTGATTTAGGAGCATAAACAAAGCTGGTCCCTCTGGGTATCCGTGAGGAGGCCTGAATTAGCAGCTCATCCCTTTAATCCCCTTTGAAAGCCCTGAGCTTCCTCATTCAGTACAAGGCTCGGCTCATTTGGGTTGTGTCATCCTCTCTGCTTTGCGACCTCAGCTTTTATGAAATTAGCTTCCTCTGGAGGCACTTCACAGCTCTGGAGCTCGATGCACACCACTGTGCTCCCACAGAGTCCCTCACCTGTCCGTGCAGGCAGGAGCTGGCAGAGAACAAGGAGCTGGGCGTGCTGTGACAGTTTCTCCACAGCTGAGTTGCAACCCGTTGGAGTTCATCCACGAAGCGGTGGCAGTTTCCTAAGCCAGGACCTCATAATTTCCATTTGCATGTATTTATTCACCACCAGTTCTCCATGGGGAGGTTTCTATGGCACAACAACCAAGTGTGTATGGAGGAATAAACGCGGATCCCACAGCTGCTCAGCTGAACCAGTCTGTTTCAAGCCATGCTTTATCTCCAGCTCCTGGAGTTGCCAACTGGCAGCCAGGCATCGCTGGTGATCAGCACAGAATTCCCTTGCAAGGGGCTGAATGTCTCATCTCCGTCCTGCTGATTAGCACAGCTCAGACCAAACCCATGACTTTCAGCAGGGCTGGAAACAGGCTGCACAGATCCTCCCTGGGGCTGGGCCACGGGTCTGCAGGGAAGAGCTGCATCAGTGGTGGGCTGCATGCTGGGGGTCTTGCCTCATTTTGTGGGGGTGTCACTGTTATGGAAAAGCTGTGAAGATATCTTGATGCAGAGCCTTACAGAGACAGTGCTCAGAGCCAAAGACTGCATGCTCAGCACCCCTGCTCCCTCTTTCTAGATATGCCACTGACTCACCAGGCAGCTCCAAGCCTTTATTTAAATGCTTCGTGCCCGAGTTTTTGACTTGGCACAGAGTGCTGCTCCATTTAGACTGTAAGAGTTTAAGCAGATCTTGCTGACATTTGAAATGCTTTTCATTTTTGCTGAAAGGTATTTTGGAAGGAAAAGAAGAAAAATAAAAAATTAATACCATCCTTTCCACAGCAGGGGAGGAAACAGATACTACACTGATAAGGGAAAAATGAGTTGTGAGAAGAGAGGCAGGTGGTGATCTCTGGAAGCAGCATGGCCCTTCCCCCAGTAATGGGAATGGCCACTTGAGCAGCTCTGGTTTGCCTTTTGCAAAACAACCTCATGCTCCACAAATACAGTCTTTGCCATAGAAATGACTCCACTTCTCCAGATTCATAGAAGGGCTAAAAAGTGGGTTTGGATGACAACTGTGCAGGGGAGCATATGCTCCCTTTCTACCTTGGGTTGTGCTGGGGTCTGGCTACATTCACACGCCCTGTCCCCATCCTCCTGGCCAAACATCATATTCTGGCTGTATCAGGGCCTTTTCTCTTCCACCTCCACTGGGATGGGGCAGTGTGGTGGTGCAACTACACCCTCTCTTGGGCTTCTCAGTGCTTGGTGCCATTTCCCTCCCTGGGCCACATGCCAACACAAGATGAATTGGGAATTCACCTGGCTCCTGCCTACCCTACTGCTTGGGAATGGTAATGACAATAAATTACCTCCTGACAGCCTACTGCATCTCTACCTGATGGCTGATACCACAACTTCAAGATCTACCAAGTTCTGGGCCTGTGCACTGGTGGAAAGTACCAGAGTATTTTATCATTTGGTCTGAAATGAAAAGTACCTGACAATAGTAAATTATCTCAGACCCTATAAACAGTGATTCTAAGTGAGACCCTTTGAGTTTTCCTGGATCACAGCAGGCTGTGACCAGCATCTCCCAAGTTGGGATGCCTCTCAGACAGACTTCTCAAGGTTTGAAGATCACAGAATCATCAAGGTTGGAAAAGCCCTTGAAGATCATCCAGTCCAACCATGAACCTCACACTGACAGTTCCCAACTCCACCAGATCCCTCAGCGCTGGGTCAACCCGACTCTTAAACCCCTCCAGGGATGGGGACTCCACCACCTCCCTGGGCAGCCCATTCTAATGCCCAACAACCCCTTCTGTAAAGAAATACTTCCTAATCATCTGCCCACAAAGCCGATGAAAGGCCAGGGTAAAGTAGACTTCTTAAGACTCAGTTATTGCCCACTGAGAAATACCGATGCACTGTGAGTATTTACTCCAGATTCAGGAAGAGAAATTTTAACTATAGGCTAGCCTCTTCCATCCACCTCTTTGCTTAAATACGCACATTTGCCTTCACAAGTGTGGATGTCTATATATTTCACTGGATATTCAACTATTTCCATGCTGTTTGTGTGTGTGTAGGTCTTCTGTTTAGACATATATATACTTTGATTTAGGATACTAGCATGAATTGTCATTCTTGAATCTGTAAGTCACCATTTTAATAACATATCCTACCAAATCACCTTGTTAATCTTAAAACTGATCAGTCATTAAGTGCTGCTAAAATTCAACCTTCTGATCTACCTTGCACCATAAATCTTCAATTACTACTAAATCATAGCCATGTCAAATACTTTCACCCGCGACAGACAGCTACCACCTGGCCCTAGCTATATTTGCTTTAGCTTGTACCTTCTACTCTCTTTTGGCCAGCAGGGAAGAGACTTTACACCACTTCTGTTTGCAAGTTAACAACATGAAGGTTATAAGGTCCTGCCCCAGTGATCAGAGTGTGAACAGGACTGGGTCCAGCATTAGCAGCCAGGTTGTAATACTCAGCACAGTGTGTCTAAACCCAGCTCTCTTCCTCAGGGGACTGGATTCTGGGGGGGCTTTAGCAGCTGATCAGAAACACCTTCCAGTGTGCTCACACCCTTGGTCCAGAGGTAAATCACTTGAAAAGTATCACAAATTTGTTTCTTGCAATGTTTTGTAAAATCAGCACGGAGCATGAAGGCTGTATCTATTTCATGTGGATTTGTGTGGCTTAGTCTATGAGAATTGCTTATATGTGTTGAGACTCCCAGAGAGAATCAGCAGAGGAAGGCAAAGTTACCATTGTTAATTTAGGAGGGCCAGGGTTCATATGTGGTTTTTAGTATGTCCAATTTCTTTAACTTTTAACTCTTTCAAAACCATATCTACTCTCTGAGTTCTTAGGGGTGACAGATAATTGGAGAGGACTTGACTTATCAGCTAAAGTCTGATCAGATGATTTGTATCAGCACCTTGCAACACGAAGGGCAGCAGCCTACCACAAATGAACATCCGTGTTTCTCTTTCCCTAGAGGAATGAACCATTCTCACCAATGTGAATGGTACCTGCTGATCCTCTCCCATGCTGCTCAGGCATTGCATGAGGACTCCAGGTCCATATTCTTGCGGCATCTGGGCCGCTAGCTCAACTTGTGAACAACCCAGATACTCAGACTCTGTAGTGCATCACACTCATGTCCAAGAGAACCGTTTATTATGTTTACATAGAGTATGAGCAATGTGGAAAACACTAGAAATATTGCATCAGTGGTTTGGTTTCTGGACAGCATTGGAAATGGTGATGCAGCTGCTTATGTCATGTCTGTATTATGAGGTATGCAATATGCCATGAGGAGCCAAAGCTTTGCGCTTTAGTTTGGTAAGTGCCCACCTCTGGCACGTTCAGGGCTTGCTCCTCTAGTGCCACAGTTATGCGCTTAGCTGTCTGCTTTTCCGCAATTTCACTTGGAACTTGTAATTTTAGTACAAAAGCACAGTTTTTGAAACCAATCCTGCTAATCCACAAGACTGTTCCCCCTCCCTCTCCTCCCCCCTCCTCCCATCCCATCCCAACTCATCCCATCCCCCATGCTCCCACCAACACATACCTCCTTCCCCTCCCTCTCACCCCGGTCACACAGCAAATATCCTGATGCTGCAGTTCCAAGCCATGTGTCCGCCCCAGCCTACGCGATCCAATGGTCTCTGACCAAGTCCCTTTGTTCAGACGTTAATACAAAACACACAATAGGAAAAAAACAAAACAAAAGGAGCCAGACACAAGAGGGAGACACACTGCCGGGCTCCAGCTCTGGCCTCTGAGCCCTTCAACTAAGCTCCACAGCAGCTAGGCTCTTGGGGTACCTCCTTTCACACTCAAGGCTGCAGGTCCCAAGGTTTCCAAGGTGCATAGGAAAAGGAAGAAAGGAAGTAAACTACAAGCCTGTTTCTGTTTTAGGCTCCCCCCCATCCCTTTCCCTCAACCCAATGGCTGCTGGAGGATATTCTTGACTCCGACAGGTCTTTTCCCGTCTTCCAGTGAGACCCTGCCTGGGGACCAGGTTCACTGTAAGTCACTGGTTCCTCTCTGGAACGTGGGCGATGGGTTTGGCAGTGAGGGGAGGGAGTGGAGCACGTTGTGGGGGGACGACAGGCTTTTGTCTCACAGCAAGTGGGGGGGAGATGTTAGGGAAGGCGAGAGAAAAGAGCCAAAGGAAGCCGGTAAAGCTGGCCCTCTGCTTGATGTTTGTACTCAAGATTTCTCCTTGGGGTGGCTTCAGTGTGCCAGCGCCGGCCTGTTGTCCAGTCACCTCTCGCAGCCCTGCTGAGAAAAAGCACGTGGCAGGGTGCTTCCTGCTGCTTCGTCCTCTGGCTGGCTGCCCTCGTGCCCGCTGGAGATCTCCGAGTCGCAGTCAAGCGCCTCATAGATGGTAGGCAGCGTGGTCTGCTGGCTGAGGCGCTTACGCAGGCCCACGAGCAAAGGCTGTGGCATGGAGGAGACGTCCACGTTGTTGCCGAGGTCAACCCAGGCCAGGCAAGGGAACTTGTTCATGTCTTTCATGGTGTCAGTCAGCTCCTTCATGGTCGCCCGCGTCAGTCGGTTGCCATTGAGGGAAAGGTGAGTGAGCTTGGGTAGTGCCCAGAGGAAGGGCAGCAGCAGGCGCACCATGTCATCGTTCAGCTCGGTGAAGCTCAGGTCCACAGAGGTGAGGTGATCCCCATTGTTCTGCAGGTAGTAGGCCATGCGGTGGACATCCCGCATGGTCAGGGGGATCCCTGACAAATCCATGGAGTCCTGGCTCACTTTCTTCTGCAGGCTGGTCTTCAGGCTGATGACGGAAAGGGGTAGAGAGATCATTAAGGGGACTGCTCTTGTCCATCTCTCACCCAAGTGAGAGAGCACTTGAGACGGGGAAAACTCATTAAGAACATGGGCGAGAACGTTAAGCAAAGGGTTAACAGAGCTCACTGGGGAAGCAAGCACAAGGTTTGCACCATGCCTCAGGGCAGACTGTGTCCTGGGGCTTGCCTGTATATTCTCAGGATTTACACATAAACTTTGCCAGAACTGGCTAAACACAGGATGCCAAAGTGTCTTCCACTAGCACATTTCAAAGGGATTGTCTGTATGTGCATGTACAGACACTCATGCATAGAAAGCAAAAATAACCAAGGCAGGCAAACTTTCCAAGTGCATTGGTTTGCGTTGTGTGTGGGCTGTTTGTGTGCCACCTCTCCAGGTGCATGCCAAAGTCTGTTGCAAACAGACTGTGCTGCAGGGCTGCTGCAGAGAAGAGCAGTGTTAAAAAGCCCAGAAATGGATATTTTATCAGGAAAACATTCTATAGGCAAACTGCACTCCAGGAGTAGATTTACTGCATGTCCCTTTAAAAGCCTTCCCAAGCAGCACTTACTCAGTAAGCAGCACCAGTGGCTGCCTATGTGGGTCTCTGTGGTCAGCAGATCATCTGGGATCTGCTGCAGTTGTGAGGAGGTGTGGAGAGTGTAAGGGTTCGAAAAAGAAATCTGGAGAGGTGCTTTCAGCTCTTCCTTTTGCTGTCTGCCTGGTAAGTGGAGTGAGGAGGAGGTAGGCAAACTGTACAGGAGGCAAATGGGGCTGTTGGGTATGTGAAGGGAGTGGGATGTGGAGTTTCATGATGGACTGTGGGTTTTTGAAAGTGCTGTGAGAAATGGGAGCTGTGGGGCTATAGGAGTTGGTGGGGAAATGTTGCGATTGAGTAGAAACACACGTTGGTGTAGCACAGAAGAACCTAATCCCTTAGTGCAGATGATGTTAGCCTTGCTCTCCTTTCAGACACATCCAGCTTTAAGGCTATGGGAGCCCTTGTAGAACCCCCACTAGTGTTATGAGTCATGTGCTCAGTGGGTCTGTAAGTGCCTTGTTGAGCTTGGGAGAAGCAGGGTGGGTTAAGAATTAACCACCAATTTGAAGGTCCCCACTCTTCCTATCTGGCTCTCTGTAGTGTCCTGCACACCTGTGGCACAGCCAGTCCCTGAGAGCAATGGGTACATGGGGACATGCAATTTCCTCGGAGGAGGCTGCAGCACCGCAGGAGCTCCCGTGGCAGGTGAGAATGCCCCTACCAGCCTTAGTGTTGCCAAGCCCCTCTGTAGTTGTGGAGAGGGTGTGACACTGCCTCTATAGCTTTGCTCTACATATGCAGCTCACAGCATCCTGGAAATTTCAGTCCTTAATAATCCCTATGAGCATGCAAGAATACAAGTGAATAAATGTGCATCAGTGCAGGCAACAGCCCTTCATGGACACATTCAACACTGGCAAACTGTGCTTCCTTGTAGGAGTGTGAGGTGAA